ACGCAATCGACCGGATGCCTCGGACGAAGATCTGGGCTTGCCCCGGAGTCCTGCCTCTCCGCAGAGACGGGCTGCTGGTGGCACTAGCAGCCGGAACAACTCTGGAGTCAGTCACCATCAGACATCCTCCGTGAGCATGCTGAGCGTAAACAGCAACGAGGCGGAAACGGAGGACAGTCAGAGCTCCATGCATCAGAGGCACCACTCCCGTGTGTCCACCAGCTCCTCCATATCGGTCAGCTCGGACATATTGCGCTCCCATAACGAGGACGACGTGGATGCCGTGGGCGGGGAACGGCACAGGCTCTCCCACGCGGCGGCCAAGCACAAGATGGCCATCAGGCCGGCCAAAAAGAAGGGTCCAACCCGGCAGCATCGCATGACTTTGGAGGTGAGTTTTTGAATCTAAAGGTAAACGTACCGTACTAACACGAAAATGATTTCTCCGATAGACTTCCATACCCGAAGCCAATGAGGATATGCTGAAGATTAGTCCTGGTTTACGTGGAGTTCATGGTAAGAAGTATTTCACCTCCAAGCAGAAACGTATGATAACAATTATTTTCTCATCTGGAACAGAAACGGAACTCAAGACCAAAACACGCTCGTTGCCTCCCAAGTCATTGACAGCCATTTCAATTCCCGCCGGCAACGCCCTGACCACCACCAAGCGGACTAAGACCATCGAGCAGACCCAAACCACAGTGACCAGCAGCTCGTCCAGTTCGAGTACTTCGCAGGTCTTCGGACGACGGACCTTGAAGACCACCAACACTTTGCTGGAGAACCGCGGGGAATCCTCGACCGACGGGGATGACATTCTGGAGAGGGACGCCAACGAAAGCGGCTTCCTGCGCCGCCTAATCCACCGCAACTCGAAGCGTTCTATCGCCAGGGCCAACGACGGCCTGGAGGACACCGACTCCAGCCAGAGTGTCGCCAAGAAGCTGCAGATCTCGACCAGCTGCTTGGAAGCCGCCGCTCGGGAGCCACTCCTCGTGCCGGACAAGTCGCGCAGCGCCACCTCCCACGATCAGCACATCCAGGAGACGCGCCAGACCATCAAGCGGGAGATCCACAACGAGGGCAAGCACGGACTGAACGCCATGGTCAGCAACTACGGGGTCCATCCCCAGCCGCCGACGGCCTTGAAGCCCAAATCCGGGCCAGCTGCCCGGCAGCGCTATGTGCCACAGGAGCTGGGTGCAGGAACTCTAGTTCAGGAGAAGATCTCACCCGGAAACGACGTCACAAATCTGTTGTCGAAGAGTTCCCGTGGCAACGACACCTTCCAGTCCACCACTTTGGTCAGGGAACAGCAGACGAAGGTGGAGACACATTCTAGTGGTCACTTCGAGCCCCGGAAACCGCGAATCGTGGGTCTGAGTGCCTTCCAGCAGAAGCTGTCCCGGTCCACCGACTCCGTGGGCCAGCACTCCAGCTCCTCAAACTCCCTGGAGACCAGCACTGATGAGCCCTCGCCATTGTACTACGAGGAGAAGCAACGCAAGACGGTGGAGAAGTCACGCAGCTTCCGGAACTACCAGGAGGACGGAGTGGATAGTCAGGGATCGGCATCGGGCGTGGTGCACAATAACATGCCCAGTCTGCCAGACTTGTCGCTCAGCTTCCGTGTGCCGTCTACCTTTTACAAGCAGTCTCCGCAGTCGCCTTGTTCGCCAATCTCACCGAACGCCAAGTGTGTGTCCCTGGGATTCGAGATCAACGACAACAAGCTGCTCCAGGCCCGGGCGGAGTCCACAGGACAGTTGGTTACCCCCAAGAGCCCTGGCTCCACCAAGCTACTGGTGGGCAGTGGACCCTCCACGAACATCTCGCAGATCGAGCAGAATATCGATATGATTGTCAAGTCACCGCTGGTCAGTGTTCTGCGGAAGTCTACGGTGATAACCACTACCGAGAAAGAGCCATCTCCCCCACCCAAACAGCGGCCCAGGGTCCTGGAATTGGGCGTTGCCAAGGTGGCGACAGCTGCACCGGGACCCAGTCCCAGTCCTGCTAGTCCTCTGACCAAGAGTGCCAAGCTATCCAACAGTCCCCCCACCACGCCTGCAAAGAGTCAAGGCAGCTCCTCCGGTCACAACAGCCGCCGCAATTCCAGCAATGTAGAGTCCACTGGTGAGCCTGAGTTTATGAAGATTCAGCTGAACCGAGTGGATCAGGCGCGTCTGCATCAGAAGACCAATCACCTGGTCTTGGCCAAGAACCTCAAGTCTCCCGAGGACCGCAGCCAAAGCAGCGATGACCTGAGCTTCCGGCGGAACAGTGGGGAGAGTCTGACTGGAATTGAGATTGTGGAAAAGCCACTAAATTCGGTGGTGCCGGTTCCGAATCTCGGCAGGCAGCTGCGGTCTGTGAGTGCCAACAGCGTTAGGACGAGCTACGGCAGCAGCTGCGAGAGATTAGCCACGCCAGTCACACCTGTAACACCGTCTACACCAAGTACTCCAGGAACGCCGGGAATACCCAAAAACAGGGTCGTAGCCAAGGAAGCCAAAGAGCCGGCTGGCAGTCCCAGGGAATCTGTAAAGAATAATCGACTTTCTCTCGAGGATCGCAAGCGCTTATTCCTTAACGAAGAAAAGTTGGAGAAAACAAAGGTGACAGAGACCCGTCGAAAATCCATACCCAAGGTGGATACAACAGCAGTGGTAGCGCCACCCACTCCCTCGGTGATCCCTGCCTCGCCTGCCCTTCCCATCAGCCCCGTGGAACAGCCAGAGATCAATGGCAACACCTCACCCACCACATCCAATCCAGTGGTCCTCCGCAAGAAGTCCTTTGCTAGCAGCAATGGAAACCCAACCTCGAAAGACGATCCCACGCCGGAGCTGATGAAAGTCTTTGCCCGCCGGTCCCTAAAGGTGAAGGACGAGGAGGTGGTGGTCAACGTGACGCAGCAGCAGCCGGTCCCCATCAAGAAGATGCCACCGACCCAGAGCGTGGACAGTGACAAGGAAAATCAGTCGAACAGCGAGGAAAAACTGGACAAGCTGGCGGGGGCTCCACAAAGCAATGGCGTGGAATCCGGCAAGGTGTCCCACAACCACCAACACCACCCCAGCAGCAACCGCAACTCTGTGGCCGATTTCCGCAATCTCAACAACAACAACAACCAGAGATCGAGGGTGACTTCGGGTCAGCCACAGACGCAGCAGCAGCAGAAGGTGGTGTCCTACCTGCCGCCCATCAAGGTCAGCAACGCTGGACGCAATAGTCTGAACAACAACAACCACAACGGAGCAGCTACCAAGCCTGTGGGCGAAAGGTTCTCCCTGCAGCTCAAGCAGGCCACGCCCACAGTGGCCACCCCCTCTCCAACAACCCCACCGGCAACAGGAGCAGGATCTGGAGCAATCGCACCCAGCAAGCCCATTGAGAGATCTGCCACCGTGGGCGAGTTCAAAGGCATCCACCAGAGACGGGCCGAGTGGGAGCAGCGGGCGAAGGAGGCACTCAAGTAGAAGGAGCACCACTAAAAACAAAAACCAAAATCTAAATTGAAAAAAGGGAAACAATCAAAATAATCATTATATATCACCCAAAAAAAATAATGTAAAATATGTTGAGGGACAGGACTCTGGCCATCCAAAGAAAGTAGCGGCCTGGCAAGTCCCGATCCGTAGCCTCGTAGCCCGAATCCCGCAACCCTCTAATAGGCAATAACTATATACCGATCTTCAAAAATAGCGACTTGACTTATTATTTTGTAGTCCGACACTTATCGTTTACAACAGAAATTATGAAAATTAAGCTTCGTTTCCGAAATCGTTTCGTGCATGTCGAGAAATGTTATAAAAATAAACAAAATCTAAACTAACTTTAGAACTTTAAAACGAAACAAACCATTAAGGACTGTGAGTATTTTATTAAAATGGAAATTCTGAAGCCTCTGATTTAAGTTTGAATTCGGTAGAAGAGAATGATTTTACTATCTAGGTTAGACCAGCTTATTGTTAATCTTTAGTGTCGTATCAATATAATTTCAAATTACTTTGTTATGTGTAATCCCCGATGTCGCGAGCTAAGATTGCGAATCAGTAACATTAAGAATACTTAACCATAATATGAGAAGTGTACAATTGTTATCCAAGTGACAAGTTTGTAAATGTACATACATCAAGTGAAATCAAACTAATAAATATTCAGTATGCAAAAGTCCGCATTTTTATTCTTTTCTTTTTTTTATTCTATATATTTTATTTGTTTAAAATTAAAAACTACATAATTGAACACAAAATGTGTCAATGGATATATAATAAATTCTTCTGTAGTTCCATTGGCTTTCTTATTAAAGCTTAAACCCTTTTTTTAGTTTCTTTAAAGGGTTTCAGTATAATTTTAGGTTTTGTTTTTTAAGTACATTGTTTAAGAAAATACGCCCTGAATGAAATTAACGCATCATACAAGCATATATCTACAAAAACGAAATCCCTATAAAAAATTGTTGGATATTAAATTGTTATCTCCGAAAATAGGAAAGCGATTAAAATTGATTTCCTTTAGTTCTGTGGCACCTAGTCTAAATATACGTATATTGTATGTTGTATTCAGATCAGCCTTAACAAGCCGAGTTTTAATTGTATCCCTGTATATACACAGTTTTTAATTAAATCATTAATTAATAATTAGCATTAATTAATAATTTCCAGTTCTCAGGAGTTAAAACCAGTACAATTCTCTGCTGCTTCACATTAAATATCTTCTCCATTAAAAATATCTATTAAAAACTAACATACTATTAGTTAGGCAGCTAGCCACATCTATGGTTTTCCTTGTTTAAAATTAGTTTATGAGATATTGTAAAACATTATTTAATCCAGTTTTTCCTGTTTTAGAGCAATCCCAAGTTCGGATAAATTTAAAAGTAGCAACATGTAGTTGTTTATTGGCGCCATTTCATTTTGGAACTACCCAACACTGTCTCCATTTTGGACATTTACCAGCACCTAAGCTGTGGATGTGACCAAATCGTAAAAAATAAGCCCTTTTCAGGTGGCAACTCCAGCAGGCGCATGTGTTTCTCCGTATTTACAAGAGATTTAACAAAAACAATCCAATAATGGTAAGAAAACGACACATTTTGGCAAGCACCCACTGTAATTCTGATTTTATTTAAGGGCAAAGGCAAAAAACCCTATATTGACCGCAAGAAAGCCGTCACCTTTCACCTGGTGCACCGTAGTCAGCACGATCCACTTGTCACCGATGAAAATGCGCCGCAACGGGTGCTACTGGAGGCTGCCAGCAGACAGCAAAAGGGAAAGCCACAGGATGAAACACCTATAGATCCCGCCAAGCGCCAGGAGGAGCAGAAGAAGTTCGGCATTCATTTCGACGATGACTACGACTACATGCAGCATCTGAAGAAGAGGGAGAATGACGTCGTCTGGGAATATATGGAGAACCCCAACCAGGCGCGTAAGCGCCCAGAAGAAGAAAAACCAAAGCTGGTTTTGCCCAGTTCAGTGTTTGCCAGTGAGTTTGAGGAAAAAGAGGGTATGCTTAACAAGGCTGCTCCACAAAGTCTGCGCCTTGACTGGGATCCGGATGTGGTGGCCGCTCTGGACAGCGACTGTGAAAACGAGGAGCTGGACGATGACTTCGTGATGCAGGCCATGGGTGAGGGCGACTCCGACGACGAGGAGTGGGACGGTGACGAAGAGGAGGATGAGGAAATGGACTTTGATTCGGACGATTTAAATGAGGAGGATGATGAAGAGAACGATGATGAGCTGATGGACCGCTTAGCTCCACTCATGCGGGAGCGCCGCTTTGACGACGAAGAGGTAAAGTCGCGCTTCACCGAGTACTCCATGTCGTCCAGTGTTATCAGGCGAAACGAACAACTCACCCTGCTGGACGATCGCTTCGAGAAATTCTATGCCAGTTACGATGATCCTGAGCTGGGAGATCTTTCACTCGAGGACATCGAGGGAAACTGGCATCAAAAGCACCCTGTCGTAATGCAGTGCTTCCAGGAATTCAAGAAGAAGGACAAGACGATCGAGTATAACAAAGAGTGGGATCGCGAGCGCATCGAAAAATACCGAAATGTGGTCGATGGCGAGCAGGATCCCACTGAGGAGCTGGTGGAATACGAAGTGGAGGATCCCAAGCAAAAGAAATGGGACTGCGAGTCCATTCTGTCCACCTATTCGAATATCTACAACCATCCAAAACTGATCGACGAGCCACGGCGCAGTCGACGCTCCAGTGCCAGCACAAATCCGGCCCCCATTCAGATAGATCCCAAGACAGGTCTGCCCACAAATGTTCTGCGAGGGGGTGTGGATGGTCAGCTCACTGCCAAGGCCCTGGCCAACCTTGCTGATGATTCGCCCGCCGCTGCAGGTCCCAAATCACTTTGTGCCAAATCGGTGCTTTCTACCCTAAGTGTCCTATCCATCCGTCCCAAGGACGAGACCCCGGAAGAGAAGAAGGAGCGGAAACGCCTGCTGAAGGAGTATCGCAACGACCGTCGCGTCGAAAAGAAGGCCAACACGGAGGCCTTCAAGGAGGAGAAGAAGCGGCAGACGCACGTGAAGATTAACCAGCGCACCAACCAGCAGGGAGCCCCCATTGTTTAGAATAAGTTTCCGGCTCCAATTCCTAGGCTTACACCGATTTGTATAAGCAGGCGTATATACTACATAAATATAGTGATATTCTATAACAAAGGATTCGATAACTGTTGCCTTTAATCAGGTGCCGTGATTACGGGAATCGGTCATCCAATAATGGGCTTCCACAAAAGCCGGCCCGGAGATGTCACGTTTTGTTGGCGTCATCGTCAGTTGTCAGTGGTTGGCCATTAATCAAAGTGCCTGACTGCGCCACACGCGCCTAAGCCATAAAGCCACAAACGCAGAGAGATATCCTGGTAGAGGTATCCTGCCTGCCAGCGAACTGCCTGGCGGCAATTAGCCCTAACTGACTGGCTGACAACAAGTTTGGTCTAGCGATTCGCGAGTTGCTAACTACATGACTCTGGCTCGACGGGCGGACATAAAACGGAATCAACAGAGCGACAATCGAAACGAAAATAAAATAAACTTCATTTCATTGTCAGTTGGCGGAGAATGTCATAACAAAATGCCTCTTACCTCTTCCAAAAGACACCATATGTACTCTATATATATGCATGCTCTGCCTGTGTCAGTGTACTATCCATATATATGCTATATTGCTGCTCGACAAACGCGATTCGTATTTAAACAGCCCCATATAGAAATTTCCCACGAGGGCCGAGGGCAGAGGCCTGGGGGCCATTCAGGCCTCGTTTCCAGCCCTTGGTGGCTAAAGGGCTAGCAGTAGCAGGTGGCGCGCGGTGTGTTTTGGTTATTTTGTGGAAATTTCAAGTCAACTTGCATGCACTGCAACGGCTTGGAAAATCCCACCATTGGCAGCCTATGTGGAGGAGAAGAAATTCAGCAGATGGATGTGTATGACAGTTATTGGAAACAGCTTGGCTGGCCATTTGATCGTACTGGCCGAGGGGAGGAAGGATGGGGCGGCCATTAGAAAATCCCAAACACACATTCCAGGGGAACCCAACACCAATTTGCGAGGCTCGTGCCATGCAATCGTCCTTCCAGTCCTCAGTCCGTTCCGACCGTAGCCCCCACCAAAAACTCCCTGTAAGTGGAAACCCGTTACAGTTGGTTGTCGTGCCTGAGCCTCAACGTTGGGAATTTTTCTACTTTTTCCAGTTCATTTTTTTTGTCGTAGTTCGTATTAAAGTTGGCAAGGCAAGCGGCCAAGAAATTCGCACAGCTCAGTTCCGTTGGGTTCAGTTCAGAGTTTCGGTTTCAGTTTCAGTTCAGTTCCTGAGAGAAGGCGAACGGATTCGGGCGCGCTTCGTCGTACCCGCAGCTCGGTAATTTCCATAATATCTGAACCGTATGGTTGATTTGGTTAGTTGGTTAGATGGCACCATGGGTCCTGGGCCTCGGGCTCTGCTGACTCTGGCTCTGACTCGGTGTCGCGTGAGGCAAGCGTTAAAGTCGCGTAATTTTAGGCCGCCACCCAAAACATTTTCTGCCAAATACATAATTAATGTAATTGCCGGGTTCCTGCTGTCTCGAGTCTCTATGATCGAAAGCCCCCTTCCCGGACTTGATGGATTTATGTAATCGGAAAAAATAAAAACTAAATTACCGTTATTTAAAGAGCATTTGTTTTAATCCGGCCGGAGTCTTTGTAATCCGCCGCCCGGCAGGATCCCCGGAATGAATATTAATGAGCTACGGCCCGGTTTAATTAGTGCGTGTTTTCCAATCAAAGTCGGGGGAAAAGTATCTGACGGATTAGCTAACTGTATGGCACGTGTGTGTTAGTGCCAGTGGGACTAGGGCATTCCCGTCCAAGATCCAAGATCTGTGTGAACGCAAAGTGTCGCCACCACTTGAGGCTCGGGCCTAGCCGGATACTGTTCATCTGGCGATCTGCGATCTACATTCGCATATGCAGATACCTTCTGTATTCGCCTCTGTTTCAGTATCTGAGCACGATCTGGAAGTGGATTTTTTAATTTGCGCAAAAATACCCGTCGAATACTACGTGCGATGCCATTGTCAATGTCAGTCCGGGCAGAAAGTAATTTATATAGGAAGTGGAAGCCCAGGCAATTATGTGTGTGCTGCTCCGGCCAGGAAGCTTGCAATTGAAACTTTCCATCAGGGTATCTCTTTCCGGACCACTATCGCCGTCAACATCTCTATCTCTATCGCAATCTGTATCTGTATCTGCGAAAGTATCTGCAAAATATCAGCCGCATAGATTGAGCTGTTACACCGCGAACCGTAAACTGTCGGTTTTGTGCAGCGGCTTAAGTAAAATAGGCACGCGATTCAATTGAATCTTGGCGAGAAGTGTGCTCTGCCCTGTGCCGGGGGCAATTACACCGCCGTGCCTTGACCGCCGGCGTAGTGCTGCTCATCCGCTCCACCTTCCGTGACCAGATCTACAGTGGAGCTTCTTCAAAAACATATAGAAACTTTCAAGAAAGGATTTCATTTTTTCTCTGAAATATAGAGTCTATATGGAATAATTATTTGTAAACCTCTCTAAAAAATAAGAAATTAAAACCGACGTAAACAAGAAGCTTCCCTGTAGCTGGGGATACAAGTTTACGGTCGTAATCGGCCGCCCACTCACACCTATACCCACAAATCCCCACCGGGTGTGGAATCTACATATCGCAGATGCGGATACAGATACTCGTATCTAGATGAGCACTCTTTTATCGCCCCAGAGCTCGTCTTTCGGTTTATTCGAGTTCCGAACACCAGCCGAGCCGGAGGCACAATCTTGCGGATAACCCAGCCAAAAAATACTTTCGATCAAGGACTCCGATCTGATCCGATTCTTTTGTTCAGTGCCCCTCGTGTGTGAGAAGGTGTGAAGTGTTAAGAAAATTGATTTTAATAATAAAAACGAAATAAAAGAACCTTCCCCTTAAGAAATTAAAATAATAATAATGGGAAACAAAAGCAGAGCCAACAAATGCAAATGATCGAAAATATTGTGTTACAGAAACCGAATTATGAAATTCCCACGTCGGTGTAAAGTGAGATGATTTGAGGTCTGAGTTACAAATCCTGTCCCGTGCCGTCGCCCCAACATCATGCTCGACAAATTCAACACAAACGCATTCATATCGTTTGGACTGGGATTCATACTGATGTGGTAAGATCGAGTTACCTCCTCCGCCACAACTGCTTCCCTATCCATCCCAATCCCTAACCTACACCCCCTGCCACCAAATCCCAGACCTAGAATCGTTTTCCAGTTCAAGGGGAACCTTCGTACTGCCAAATGCAAAATCGGTTCAATTCGCTTCGGTTTCGGTTTGGGGGCTCCCAGGCAAGGTCAATTGGATCACAGTCAAATGAGAATCCTGCACGGCATTCGATTGGAAAAGGAGCAACTAATATTGCCTCTCAGGCAGGCAGTTGTGTCTGGGACGGAGCAGCAAGGAATCCAAACGAATCGAATCGAATGGAAGCTACGGCAGGCACGAAGGAAGTTAATTTCAAATTCAGACTTAAATTGACAAAGTTTTCTATAGTTGCATGTGGCAGACATCAGACCCTTGCACCGTTGCCACAGCCCCATCCCAGCCTATAACTATATATTAGATTTCCCAACCAGTGTTGCCAGTTTAAAAGTTATCTTTGAAAGTATTAGAGAGTTTTAGAGTTTTTTTTATAGAATAATTGCCTTAAATGAGAGTATTTCACTAATAATTACAAAATACACTTCAAATTAAAGTTTAAGTTGTGAATTAATAATTTAAACTTATTCTGAAAACGTATCTAGGCATTTAAATTATTAAGCTTAATAAATAAAAATGATTTGAAATTATTTGAAAACAATAAAGTTCATAGTAAAAGAGACAAGAAAATAGCTCCAACCTGGCACCACTGTCTGCCCCATCCGCCCAAGAATAAGAATTGCATTTGAATTGCGCCTCTGTATTGTTTCTGTTGCTCATTTTGCAGGCTGAGCGAAGCCACGGAAGCCCATGTGAACTACACAGCCAAGCCGCGAGTAGTTCTTCCGCCTAATTATGTCAAGGGTAAGTTAAACAGAGGCCCCGCCCCCAGAGGTCCACCCATGGAAGCACCCCGTCCGAAAGCACCGACCGCGAGAAAATTACAATTGTAGTCCTCCTCGGAGGTGTCCTTTTCCAGCCGGAGACGGAGTCTCGCGCCGTTCGATGCGGTCTCCTTTTGTTTTTAATTGCTCCGAATTGCCCCCCAGGTCCGTTTTTGTGATTTCTGATTTGTTTGCACCATGAAACCGCCAACCATGGATATGGATATGCGTGTTCGGCTTCTCCTTTGTACACTTTTTGTATCCTTTTGGTTTATTTCGTGACGCGGCGAATTTCAGGGCCTCCGTCTATTGCATATGGGTTACGGCTACGGTGGTAGCCAGTCTCCCCCAGATGGCACTTTGACGTCATCCGCAATTACGATCGATTAAAATCCAAACAACATTTACCGGCGACAATTGGCCACCTGAAGTACAAAAGAATTTCACCAATCCTCCAATCTGGCAGGGGAAGTTACAGATTAAAGTTACATTAAACTATGTTGCTTGCCAGGATCCATTATGTATAAAAATTACGAGTTCAGGAAGGTGACTTCCAGAACATCTCACATATTTGTGGAAATATCTGACAATTAATCTTAGAGTTCATTAAACTTTCTATAACGACAGCCATGTTGGTTTGTGGTTAATCAATATATTTAAAATAAAATGTTAAATAACTTGCACTTCAACTAATTCAAAAGTCATTAATCTTTCAAATGTTAAATTTAATGATGAATTATTGTTATAAAACTGGAAAAGTTGTCAAGTTAATTGGGAGCCTCGAACCTCTATTAAATTTTAATTGATTTTTTAATGAATGGCTTTGCTTAAATGTCTATCAACATTAGTCAGAATAAAATGTAATATTAATATTACAAAATAATAATCCAAATGCCAGACATTACGCAACAACTTGCATTTCTTTCCGTAAACCCACCTTGGAACAAGTATGAATAATTCACCAAAATTACCCAGAGGCGTGTACTCTTCATTTGAGGCGATGGCAATTGCTGGAGCTAATCAACACCTTTATTTCTATCGATTTTCGCCGGTTCTGTTGTGTAATACGCATTAGGACCACAGCCTGTCCCTGAACTTGGCGAAGCCGAGGGAGGGGAGGTCGTGAAGGTCGCCGAGGATGTGATGTGTGTTTCCTTTTTTAAGGAGCCCACTCCAAGCCGTCCAGACGGAGGCCCATCGAAATGAATTCGCGCACGAAAGCCGGCTTTCCCAAAAAGTAAAACCGAAACACCCGACACCTATGGACTTGCACAGTTTGCGAAAATATTTCTCGAATAAATGTTCACACCTGGACGTCTTGATTCGTTTCAGAGATACGACCGCCCTCGAAGAAGGGCTCCCCAGTGATAGTAGACTTTAGCATATTCGTTGTAGATATTAACTCAATTAACGTAGAGGATATGGACTTTAGGTAAGTGCCGCGATAGATGATCAGCCGGGATCCGGGATCTAAACGGAGCATCTAGCAATACTGTCTACATTTTCAGAGTAGACATGTTTATACATCAGCGCTGGCTGGAGTCCCGGCTGGAGATCCCCGACGACATCTTCGAGGAGGGCGACGACTACGTGACACTGCTTCCAGAGGTCTTTGAGAATTTTTGGCAGCCGGATCCGTACTTTCTCAATTCCAAGATTGCCGGTATGTAGTGATCTCTTCCATATGTAGCCCTTACAGTAGCCATGAATGTCCTTATGTGTATGGTTGTCGATCTGTGTTCTTGAATGTCGAACCCAAAATGCACCTTGTCCAGATGAGCATCATCACCTCTACTATATGTGTCCTAAAATTAAAATCTCTCTCTCTGCTAACCTGGACCGTTTGTATATAGTAACGATTTATTTCGTTTTCGTTTGTTTCGTTACTTTTTTTCCCTGACTAACGATTCCTGAAAACTAACAACAGGATACGGAAGTCCTTACGTGGCGTCCACGTCCCTGCTACGCAATAAGGGTGAAAGAGATTCGAAAAACTTTCACCTGAGCAAAGATATAAGTATATCAACTGACTCTAGATCTGTGTTTGCCACTTTTGTGTTTTGCCAAAATCAGACCATCGAAAATCAAAAATCCATCGAAATCAGTATTCAGTATTCAGAATTCAGAACTCAGTACTCAGAATCGATATCATCCAATGTATCCTGTATATTCAGCATTCGCCGAAACCTTTCTTTCTGTTTCGACTTTGTACTGGGCTGTTTCGAGAATCGAAACCCATAGAGTGCCTTGTGTGTAAATACAACCATTAAACATACTCCTAGTAGCCTAGTAGCCATTTCTGTTTTTTATTATTTCTCCACCTGATACCCAATCCGCCCACTCGAGGCCCTCATTACACGCACGGAATCCATGCCGGAATCCAATGCCACGGCCAGCCAGGACACTCCATCCCTACTCCCTGCACCCAGCTCCCACTCTCCCTTCCCACATGACCATCGCCCACGCTTCGCCCAGAAAAAAAGCTAAAATTACGAGAACCAAAAACGAAAATTTGCAGTTGCACACGGGAATCGTGATAAGATCTTGCCTTGAATCAGGGGCCACCTTGTTGGGATTTTCGTTTTTATTTCCAGTTTATTTGCTTCCATTGTCAACATTTACAAAACCAGAATCGATTGCAGATCGGAGAGGTTTTATTTATCTGTTCTTGGCACGATTCCCGTTCGTAGATCATTATCATACTATTCTGACAGATAAATAAATGTAATTCCAGTAAGTAGTTGACTGAATGGTGTAAATAAATGAAAAATAATTATTTTTTAGTAAGCATTTCACTATGGAAATGAGTCGTGAATAAAATCATATTTATTTAGTTTTACGTTATTAAAGTAGAAATGCATAACTTATATACCTACTGTACCATATTTTACTTGTAGAACTCTTAATAATTTATTTTGGGTACAATTTTTGTGTTTTCAGTAAAAACTTTATTTGTGTTAAATTTCATCGCATTATATGTATTTTTTTGTATTATTTTTGTATTATTTTATTTCGTACTTCTTATAGATTTTTAAGTTTTTTAATCTTATAGATTTTTCTTGTCAGAAGTTCTTGTATTTATACCCGGTACTCCCAGATTACTGAGCATCTTTCTTGTTCTCGTCCCACCGTATGTTTTCTAGTAAAAAAAATTCTAGTTTTAAACATTAAACAGTTTTAAACAATATCATTAAAAGCAAAAAAATGAAATTATAATTTATGGTGGGTTGGTAGTTTTCTTTTAATTGCCAAGACAATCATCATGTACCATCAAAGTAAAAATAAAGATTCACACATCGTCTGTAGAAAGTCGCGCTTCAACCTGAACCCAAAGCGATCAGTGATCACGATCACGACCACGGCACCCCCTCCATAAGTCGACTCACTGATACACCCCCACCGAAATGAGCAAAGAACTGAGTCTATCGATGCCAATGCCATAGTTCTAATCGAAACCCATTTGTTCCGCATCTCTGCAACGTCTTCTCGATGTCTTCTCGTTGTAGAAATAGCGACACTGACCCACAAGTTTACGTCGGTGACGCTCTACAAGAACAAGACGGTGCGCTATGCCGCCCGGATGCACGCGATCATCGCCTGCCAGATGGAGTTCCAGCTGTACCCCATGGACATCCAAGTGTGTCCCATTTACATAGAGAGCTGTGAGTGTTTGATGCTTTGTTTTGTGAATATCTGATGGAATTCCTGCCCACCACCCCTCTTTAAGTCTCGTCGAACAACCAGAAGGTGAAGCTTCGTTGGTCCGACTCCGGAGTCACCCTCAATCCGGAGCTGAAGCTTCTCCAGTACAACCTGGGCCAGCCCCTGGAGCTGGAGGAATCAGATGGCTATATGCCTGAGAAGGTCGGCAACTTCTCGCGCCTCACCGTGTACTTCCGCTTCGAGCGCCAGATTGGCCACCACCTCATCCAGACCTTCGCCCCCTCGTCGCTGGTGGTGATGTTATCCTGGTTCAGTTTCTGGCTGGGCCTGGATGCGATCCCGGGACGGGTTACGTTACTGGTCACCTGCATGCTGACACTGGTGACCATGTTCACGGGGGCGGACATTCCCCCCGTGGCGTACGTTAAGGTGACCAACTATAACCCATATTTCCCAGTTGGTCGAATTCATCCAGTATCGATTCCAACATAATTCCAGGCCCTGGACCTTTGGATGGCCGGCTGTATGCTGTCCGTGTTCGCCGCCCTGGCCGAGTTCGTGGTGGTGAAAGTTCTGGACGTGCAGTACCAGTACCAGGTGAACCGTATACCCAAGGTACTGCCAATGGTAAGGCAGCTATGAGGATGTCGCTTTAATAAGTAATGCCACCCTCTTGTCGTTCCGAATTCGCGTAGCGCATCAGCAACATGGAGAAGGGCCAATGTGCGACGGTGGCCAGCTGGGAGGGTGGAGCGGTGCGCTCCAGGAAAGCCACGCAGACGCCCACGACGCCCGGACAGGTGAGTGATTAACTGTTGGGTGGGGGAACCGTTGCACCTGTCAAAGATTCGCGCACAAATAGTGGAAACAAACATAAATCCTAGGTTGCATTCAAACTTGTGCTTTGGAAAGCTTTTCCCTCTAACCCCTCTAATTACATAAAAATACCTTGTTTTATTTTCATTCCACCCGGCAGACGTCTCTGCAGGGCAATGGAGGTCCTCCGAAGCCTGCGAGGAGACAGAGTCTCCTCTCGGTGGCCTGGACGGACACCGACACGGGAGTCGAGAAGATCATGTGGCGGGAGATCGACAAGGTGTCCCGGGCCGTGTTCCCCATCCTGTTCTTCGTGTTCGTCCTCCTGTACTGGCCGATTCTGCTGATGAAGTCGTCCTAGGATTTGGGGAGTTCCAGAATACACATTTCTGGACTCCGTTAAAAAACCGAACAATTGCGGATCTGTTGATGGAACAATACCTGCTACTGGACTGGATCTAAAAGGCCCCAAGTGCAATTCTTAAATCTGCGAAGAGCGGCTCGCTCTCCGCCATCGAAGTACAACAAATACAACAACCAGAAAAGCCTACAGTTACCTACATAAGTGTGTGCACAGCCCAGGTGTACGGATTACAGAACTCAGATATCGAATATTTGCTCACGACGAACGAGAGTATAGTTCACATGAGTGTTGCTTAGCCCCATGGTTTTTTTCCAATCTACCTATAGGATATTCTCTGACACGGCTTCAGCTGCTCTAGGCAATGGTGCTCAGGATCCCACATAGACCTTAATTTTATTCAGCAGCTAATTATTTCGCCTTACTACCACTGCATTTGTCAATCGAGTCCAAGCTGGTCATTGAATAAATGTACATCACTGTGCTAGTGACAATACCCCACGGTCGACGGGTTGTCCCTACTTCGAAAGTATACACCACTACCTACTAGAACCACAAGCTACACGCGGTACATACACCACTCTCAAGGCAAGGCAAGGCAAGGTTTTAATTGAATTTTTGTATTAGGCTTAAGCAAATCAGCCAAGGAATGGATCTGGTGCTTTACGGAGATAATAAACTATGTGGCCTCTAAGGATATTGGGATTGTAAATACTGAAAAGAACCGAGAATGCTTTTAGAGATTTTTACATAAATATTTAGAATTATTTAATCATTATAGCGCATTTTATGCAAAACATTAGAGCTGTGGCTTTTACATCTAATTGAGAATCGAGAAACCAACTAAAATCGACCTTTGACCTGTAGTTCAAACAGCGCACGTCAGGCAGATGGGATATTTTGGAAAACAATGAATATATACCTATATATATAATATATATTTGTTAAGTTAAATCGAGTTTATATTTGATATAAAAATAGCGACACAATGTAAATACATTACATCACAACCAATGTACTACTTGCATATATTTATCTAGGATTGTATCTGCTATACGAAGTTAAGTTTATATAAATATCTATATTCTTTCCATCTCCTATGTTCTGGCGTTCACTCGACTACTCGTGGAACAGTGAGCACCCAAGTAATGTTATTGAAAAAGCTTTAAATTTATTCTTAATAAAAGACAAGGCGCGTACATCTATCAAACTTGGTTGTTTTCATCCTTCAACATTTTCAACAATTTATGAGCTCCTTATTCGGAGCCACTGTCACTCTCCTCCTCGTCGCTGAACTGCGACTGAGAAGCCTCATTGTCTGGCACCCGGATGAGCAGCATCTCCTCGTCGCTGTCCTCGTTTAGGGTCTTCTTGCTCTCGCTATTTTCCTGCTCCAATTTGTCGGCTCTGTCCAGCAGCACCTTCATGGTGTATTTGTTAAAGTCGCAGCTATAAAATGACGCAAACAGTTTAAAGATATTCGATTGAAACAGCGGGAGTACTCACATCTTGTTGAGCATTTCGTACTTCCTGGAAAGCACCTCGTGTAGAGCCAGCAGACCGGTGTGCTGGAAGACCCCGTCCAGGTTTCCGTGCTTGGTCAGCAAGCAGCAGCTCCACTGGAGATAGAACTCAATGTGCGGCGTGGCCTGCAACTGGCGGGCCAATTGTTGCAGCAGTCGCTGGGCGAACTCCGGAGACAGATCCGCGCAGACCAAGTCAACTGCAAGGAGGAGGAAGGGTAAAAGGAGTCAGTGTGCATGCAATGCAGACACGTGCTGGCAAAGTGGTTTATGGCCAGCCATTTATATGCAGTTTGGTATTGGAAGGGGTTATTAACCAAGGCAGCACTGGGGCGAGGACCTTGAAACTGTTTATTAACACGGCAAAAGTGCAAATTTGCACATTCGATCGGAAAACGGAGTCAGGGCAGTGGAGCCCGCCCCTTGCCAGTGCTATTTTTAGATCCTGCCGACAGTGAAGGCTGCCGAAACCGACAAGGCCTGGCCCCTGAATGCAGTAGGCTCTTTTTTTTAATTTGCATACTCACTGTCCCTATACGGCACTCTTTCCAGCACTAGGGCAATCAAATTGGGTTCATTTAGCTTCAAGGACATGACCAGCGCTTTGGTGTACTCCAGCTTTTTAAGCGCCTCATGGACGGCTTTCGGGGTAACTTCAAGCGACAGGTCAAAGGGATCGAAGACAACGCCTGTTTTTTCAAATTTTTACATTAATATCTCTCTGAGTAGTATAGGTATTTTACAGCTCATACCCTTGTCCAGTGCGTATATGCAGAGTCCTTCAGTTCCTGCGGCGGCGAAAGCCTGGCCAGTGGGCGAGAATTTTACGCAAAACACTCGCACCTCTTGCTGGAAGCGCCTGGAGGACATGTCTCCACTGCGCACTCCTGGTAGTCGCAGAGCCACCTTTCCGCCTTCCAACTCTTCGCGCTCCTCCACCAAAGCCATGTTGCCGAACTCACTGATGTGTTTTCGATTAATAAAGTCCTAGTAATACATTTAAGTAATTAAAAGCCCAATAAAGTATATAGCTGTCTTGTTTGAGCTTACATTTAAGCCATCTAGACTGTGGTTCTGTGTTATTTGGAATTTCTTCAGTAGTATCGCCTCTCTCACATGATAGATGCAAATGTTTTGCGACTTTCCGGCAGCCAGTATGCACTCTCCATCCGCAGAGTACTCAATGGTAGAGAAGTAACTAAATTATAAGCACGTTAGGTATTATTATTACAATAAAATCAAATTATCTACTCACTTGGCTTGTGTGTTCTTTTTAGCTGTTATCATATCACCTTCCAGGCGGCCACTGCTTAAGTCATTGCGACCCTCTATGGTGGTTACTTGGCTGGAGGACTTGATGTCGAAAATGGTTATATTTCCGCTGAGAGTGGCTACAGCAACCTGAAAAATAAGAGTTTATAGAAGATTTCCAATATAAAGCCTAGCTTGCGCACCTCTTCGCCATTGGGACTAAACGTCACATTGGTTACATCCGAAACAGCATCGATGGTTTCGTGCTCGCTGTTGCTCTCCAGGCAGTTCCAAATCTTCACAGTCTTGTCCCATGAACCGGACACCAGAGTAGAGGATGTGGCCACTGGGGAGAATGCCAGCGAGACCACAGGCCCCTCGTGGCCACTGATTATCTCCAGAAGTTTTCCGGTCTTAACTGACCAAAGGAATATATCAAATACATCCTGACCTCCAGCCACAACCAACTCTCCAGAGTAGTCGACGGCCACGCAGGAAAACTGAGCCGGGTTTGGTGACGTGAAGGTCCTAAAGTTTCGGTACCTACAAAACATGTTCAAGATTAGCCAAATTTTAGGAATAAGAGGAAAAATAACAAACCTATTCACATCAAAGGCACGCACTGTGCCATCCAAAGAACTGCTGACCAGAAACTTCTTGTTTCGGCTGAACTGGATCCCAGTCACTCCGCTTGTGTGTTCGCTAAAAGTAACGAAACAGAAACTGCTCTGGGTGTTCCACAACTTGACCTTGGAGTCCTCGCCGCCGGTAGCTATGAACTGGCCATCCGACGAGTAGGCAATGCAGGTCATTTCGCTGCTGTGGCCCTGCTGTTTCATGATGTACTGTTCGCTCTGCCATTCCCAAACCAGCAACTGTCCAATCTCCCGTGAGGCCAGCGCTACCCAATCGCCTGTGCAATTGAACAAAGCTGCCGAGATGGGATAGTCGGAGATGCTCAGCGAGTGGATCATGTTCACGTCGGGTAGCTCATAAAGGTAAAAAGCACCCGTGCTGAAGGCCACCACCAAAACCTTGGTCCGTTGGTTGTAGTTGGCAGCTGTGAGCTGCACATCTCGCTGCTCCTTGCGTGGCTCGTCGGCGAGGTAGTGGCGGGACAGTTTTTTGTAGAAGAAGGGATGTCTTTGCCTCTCAGCTTCGTCTTTGAGTTCGTTCTGGTCCTCAGTGGCTGCCGTACCTTCCTCGTTCGGCGACTGCTTTTCGACCACATCCTCCACGTCATCCTCCGATTCGTTGTCACTGTCTTCTGATTTTACTTTTTTGCTCTGGGTCGGAGCATTTTCCGGCTTTGTCGCATCCTCCAAGTCTGAAGGAGACAGGCTGCACTCCCACAGACATAGCTGACCATTCCTACTGATGGTGTTGAGATCCAGACTGTTTGCCTCGAAAAAGCACGCCACAATGGCATCCGTGTGGCCACTCAGGTTGTAGGTCCTAAAGTTCTTCGTAAAGTTTACCGCGCATATCTTTGTAGAGCTATCCCGGCACCCAATAGCCAGAAACCTCGAATCAGAGGACCAGTCCAGCCAGGTGACATCGTCAAAGCCGCCCAAAAATCGCCGCTTCAGGACAAATGGGTTGTATTCTCCGGTGATTTCGCCAGGAGAAAGGAATATGAGTACCAAGTTCTCTATCGCCACAGCGAAATATTGTCCATTGGGGCTGAAGGAAAGGCATCGAATGCCAGTTTGGAACTTGTGGCGATGGATTACCGTACAGGACATCATACTGATGAGCTGGGCCTCGCCCTGTTCATTGACAGCCAGCAGAAGACTTCCATCTGGAGAAAGGGCCAAGTTTGTGTAGTTGTAGCGCGATTCCAAGGACAGAGTTCGCGATTTGTTGCTTTTTATAAAAAGAATTTGCGTCAATTTAGTTGATTTATTTAATAAAAAGGACAATCACTCACTTTTTCAAATCGTAAACGGTTATTCGATTTCCAACTGGGCTGATGACTGAATTTCCATCCGGTGTGAAGACCAAATTTCCGTTCCGGTAGATGGTGCCCAGCAAATTGGAGAACTATGATAACAGAAATTGAGTATTTGTAAGCATTTGTCAAAGGAAACCACTTACTTTGTAGGAAAACTTCATTTTGCAGCGGTTTCAAATAAAAACCTCAACAAGAAATATAAACAACGTCTGCTGCACGTGTTGAAGTAAACAGCACCGCGTTTCTTTTGGTATATACTGTAAACAGAGAGCCCTAGATAGTAGCAAACAAAATGAAGTGGAAATTAAAAAGAATAATTTATTAAAATACAGATTAAATACTTATTCACCTAACCTAAGAAATATATAAATGCCTTTCCTCTTAAATTTAAATGTATATGCTAAAACTTAATTAAGATTATATTTTTCATAGTTTGTATTCACTGTAATGCCATCAAACAGCTGTTTCTGTTGGAGCTGCCAACTTTTTCTCTAATAAAATAAGACAAGAAACATAAACAAAGCACAATTCAGGAATTTAATAAGAAAATTAATTGAATAAACTATTCGAAAAATGGAGAAAAGCAAATCCGCCGCGGAGAAGCTAGCGGAGCGCAAGGCGCGCCTCCTCGATCTGCACAAGAAGCGCCAGGAAGCGCGTACGGATAATCACCAGGAAGTTGTGGCAGAAGACGCCCGCAAGAAACTGCCAAACAACTGGGAGGCCCGCAAGAGACAGGCTGAGTGGCTGCTGGCGGACGATAAGGCGCGAGCGGAGGCACAGGCAGCGGGAAAGGACTATGAGCGCCTCAAGCTCCTCGAGGTGTCGGCTGTAGATGCAGATCGTATTGAGAGGAAAAAGAAGCGAAAAGACAATCCCGATCTGGGATTCTCCACCTACGAAGCCCAGACAGCCAGACAATACAGCCGACTTGTTAAGAACATGCCTGCCCGCGACATGAACAAATACGAGAAGCAGAAAGCCGAGCTCGGGAACTCCTTCTATGGCGGCCCAAACACATCATTGCATTCCCGGACAAAGGACACGCCAGGCGCTATCAACAACATGGTTAAAGACCTGGAGCAGCAAATCGAGCGACGCAAGAAGTACTCTCGACGACGCATCTACAACGACGATGCCGATGTGGATTTCATCAACGAACGCAACTCGAAGTTCAACAAGAAGCTCGATCGGTTCTACAGCGAGCACACGGCGGAGATCAAGCAAAATCTGGAGCGCGGAACAGCCATCTAGACGTCTTAGTTATAATATTCCCATACCATGTAATTTTAAGTTTTGCAGTGTACCTAATTTTCTTTATGTGCGTACATTTTCTATTAAAGCAAGTTGGCAGTTCTGCCACAAAAATGGTTCAAACCTGCGGGAATAATGCAGCAATTCAGTTCGCGGGAAAAGTACTTAATCTGCAACACCCTCAACTGCTGGCCAGTGATGCTCCAAGGCCACTCAGTCCTGATAGATCTCCACAATGAAACCTCGGTGGCAGGAGTAATCGACGTAGCGGACGGGCACATGACCTGCGAGCTTTCCAACGCCGTTTTCATCGATCGCAATGGAGGTCAGCATCCCTTCGATCACTTCATGGTGCGCAACCGAATGATCCGCCAAATTCACATTCCCACACACATTGACGTGGAGCAAGAATTGCGACAAGCCATGGAACGGGGAGTCCTTCGGAAAGAACGAGTGAAGCCAAAGAGCGGAAAGCGAACCTTTAAGCAGAAACGAGCGGAGATGCGACACAAGGAAACCCTCCAGATGATCTCGCAGCAAAGGGATGCGGACAAAAAGGAACCAGAGAAATAAACCTATCTGCATATACCACAAAAGCACATCTTTATTTTTTCAGGGAAATACAAACTTAGTTTGATTGCATATCTTATATCCAGTAATAATTAAATCCACACCCTATTGAGCAGCAACAGCTTTGGCTTTCTGCTCCTCGTACTTGTAATGCAACTCCATGCAATCGGTCTCGGAGATTTTAATCCACCCATTCGGAGTCATGTGGTAGACACGAATGATGCCTCCCGAGTAAGCATCCCTGAAGGTGGCATGGTAGATAGCACGTCGTCCCAGCTCCTGAGCGACATCATCCTCCAGATCCCAGTGGTATCCAGAGTCCAAGACACCATAGGCAAAGAGCGAACCGCTTCCCACGGAAAACAGATTACCTGGAGTGCGGGAGCCTTCGGAATCTACGTAGTACAATCCAGGACCACGCTTGTCATAGCCTGCCAGCATCATACCCATGCTCAGGCCCATGCCCTTATACTCGTGAGCAATATTAGCCATGATCTTGCTAGCGGCGGCCACAGAAATACGCTCCTTGTTGCGCAACTCGTGCAGGCGACATTCCTTGGACAGAACTCGGTCCCAGTAGACACAGTCGGCGGCTCCACCGGCCAAAGTTCCCAGTAGGAATTGGTTGATCTCAACAATCTTCTTCATCGTCTGCGAGCCAATGTACTGACCACCGGTGGCTCGGGAGTCCACAGCCAGGATAACTCCACCCTTGTATTTGAATCCAAGTGTTGTGGTACCGTGGTCGAAGTCGATTTTGATGCCGGTCTTGTCAGCGTTGGCTTGGATGAGGTTCAGGTTGTGCATGGGCTGCAAAAACAAGAACCAATATTGAAAATCTCGGCCAAAAAAGTGTTTTAACAACTTACGTTCTCGAATGGAGGAGCTGCGAGTGCATAGGGGTTGGCCAAGTTGCTGGTATGGGCTTTAAGGTCCTCCTCCACCTCACTTAGGTCCCAAGCTGTACGCCTCATGTATGGCGCATTGTTAATCTTGCAAATTTCTGCCAGTGCCATTGTTAAATTGTAAATTCAGAATTGAAAAACTCGGATGCTAAATGCGGATGACAAACAAAATTCGGCTGGGTATTGCCAGATAGTTCGACACCTATGTGATCTGATGTGACCAGCTCGAACAGTCGTGCCTCATTTGTTATCGATAGATTTGGGCGATCTGGTATCGCATTTCTTAAAACCTGTTGCCAATTGTCGAGTTTCTTTTAGGCCAGGCTTAAAGACAAATTAACTCTGGGCGTTTCACCTAGCATTTGCAAAACAGTGCAAAATCGAACATAAAAAACAATTCAGCTCAAACAGCATGTGTAAATACGTGGGAGTGGAAAAAGCTATGTTAAAGAGCAAATAAGGCGCGCATGCGTGTAACGAATTAAGTGAAATGTAAGTTGGCCAAAACGGTACCAAGGTGCAGTTCAAAGCAGGATTTTAGCCTAGGAATTTTTAAGCTTTTGCCAAATCTAGCCAGTTTAACCAATAAACTAGTTTATTTGACAACAAATGTATACCTTCTATGCTAAAAGTCGTTAAAATCTGTTATGTTTTTGATTTAAAAAGTCTCTTAATCGTATATTTGTAATTGCAATTACTACGTGGTACGCCATTTCATAGGGCACCCATACATGCGCACAGCTGTAGAAACACTGAAAAAAATAGAAAGATACATTCTAAAAATTAGGTTTTAAATAATTTTTTATAATGAAAACAAAATTGTAATAAAATTTTATAACTAAAACTTTAATATAATTAAACTGTAATAAAACATTAAATTAATAATATAATAATCTCCCCCTTCTTATAGTTTCAACTTGCTTTGAGATAATAATAGTTTTAATTTTAAATTTAAAGATTAATCTATATATTCTAGTTTAATCTACTTGAATATATTTCACCTTTCGAATAATATTTTTAACGCCTTTGAATTTCATTTCCGCAGAAAATGCAGCATGGATCCTCCCGCATTCCGAAACAGGAAGCTCTGCCCAACGCCATTTCTGGGGTAAGTTCTGAAGTTATCCATTACCACCTCTGATTTAACCCTTAATTAACCCCCATTTCAGCCCGATTCTAGCAACTGGACTTCGCTGCACGAGGCAGTGGCCGCCGGGGATGATCGACGGGTGGAGGGGCTCTTGTTCAGCAATGCCGACCGCCTGGCCAGGGAATCCATCCAAGGCAACACCCCGCTTCACGAGGCGGCCAGTCGGGGGTTCAGTCGGTGCGTGAAACTTATCTGTGCCCCCCCACCTCCTGCGCCTGGTGCGGCCGGGGGAAAGCCTGGAAAGGGGCCAAAAGGACAACAAAAGGACAAGGAGAAAAACAAAGCCAAGGCGAAGGGAACTCACCAGACCACCGAAGCCCTCCACAACAGCTCCCTGAGCATAGCCAATAATGAAGGGCTATCGGCTCTGCACCTGGCAGCCCAAAACGGGCACAATCAGAGCTCCAGGGAACTTTTGCTGGCCGGCGCCGACCCCGACGTTCAAAATAATGTGAGTGGCTGATTATAAGTGTTGTTATTCCTAAATCTTATGTATTTTTTCTATCCTCCATAGTATGGAGACACACCACTTCACACAGCATGCAGATACGGGCATGCGGGCGTCACCCGGATACTGCTCTCCGCACTGTGCGATCCCAACAAGACCAACCTGAACGGTGACACCGCACTGCACATCACCTGTGCCATGGGCCGAAGGAAGCTAACCAGGATTCTGCTAGAGGCAGATGCGCGACTGGGCATCAAGAATGCCCAAGGAGACTGCCCCATGCACATCGCAATCAGAAAGAACTACCGCGAGATCATCGAGATCCTGAATACGCCGAAGAAGATACGCAACCGCAAGGAGAGGTCTAGGGAGGGGGGAAGTCGCTCGGACAAGGATCGGGATAGGGAAAGGGATGTCGTGGACAAGGGAATCAATTGGTCGCCGTATGGATGTCATTACTTTCCCGATCCCAGAGCCTTTCCTTCCCCAAAACTAGAGACCCTGCCCAAGGACCCGCTTAAGCCGGGGGAGCAGTACTTCCTCGACCTGGCCGGCCACATCCACAAGGGGCCTGTGAGTGTGGGCAACACTTGTTACTGCGGGCCGTTCTTCCGGCACATCGAAAACAAGCTGAACTGCAACCGGAAGAGCCTCAAGAAGTACGTCCACAAGACCAAGGAGCGTTTGGGCCATAAGGTCCAGGCACTGGCTATCAAAACCAACGACCAGATCGAGCAACTCACCAGGACCATGATAGAGGACCGGCTGCGGTGTGAGAGCAAACGGCAGCATCTCAGTGAGTTCCTGCGGAGAGGAGAGCCCATGCGCTCCACCTTTGATCAGCAAAATAGGAGTTCCAGGATCGAAAGGACGCTGTCGAGGTGTCGCAGCTTGGAGCTGTTGGAAAGCAACCACGAAAACGGAAGGCTCACCAACTCCAGAAGTGTGGACTTACTCGAGGATCAGGCAGTGCAGGCTATTGTCCACAGATCGGCAGAAGGTCCACTCGAAAGCGACAGTGACGAGGACTCTCACGAAGCTGGAGAGGATGCAGAGGAGGCCGAGGAAGAGGAGGTGGAGGAGGAAGACGAGGAGGAGGGTGGAGTGGAGCTGGCACAGGACGACGAGGAGCTTGATGAGCAGGTGGAACAATTGGAGCATTCGAAGCTGGATGAATTGAAACTGGACTTCCTCAAGGTGTCTGAACGGTTGGGTGTGCTGCTGGAGAAGACCACTCTGATCATGGAGCGGGACAGCGAGCAGGAGAACAAGCACCAGCTGTCCTCGCTTTCCCCGCCCTATAAACCAAACACCAGGCCCGAGTCGGCACAACTCCGGGAAGACAAGGACAGCCCCAACTTCGATGAGTACACCCACGTTATGCGGAGGTATCCCAACTCGAGCGAGACGTCCAATCCGTCCCAGAACTCCAACAGCTGGGACTGGGAGGCTTCGCCGACGGGCAGCAACCCTCCGCCGGACTACCACAAGTACTATTCCCGAATCGGAAGAGGGGAAAACATGCTGAACTCCGTGATCAAAGCACTTCGCAAGGATGCCTCCTTCGCCGACCTGGGAAAGGAAGAGGCGGCCGTGAACGAGAGTGCCGAGAGAATCGGTGGCGACAAGCTGCTCTACAAGGAGCAGGCCAGCGAGGCGGCTGGCATCTCCAACCTGATGAAGCGGCAGCCCCTGTGCTTGGAGGACAACTACCCCGTCATGTCGAACCTCTTCTACTCGAATCCCATCATGGAATACGTTGAAGAACCAGAAATCCGGCAAAACGGAAACGAGCAGGTGAACAAGGTAGAGATCCGGAACAGCGAGATCAAGTGCCTGAAGAAACCCAATGCCGGTCAAGTCCGAGACATGGTTGCGCAGCTGCAGAGTACCATTGACACTAACCGGCAGGAGCTGATAGGGACGAGACCCCACTCCCGTCTGAACAACCACTTCCTGCACGTGGAGACCACCTCCTCAAACCCCTCGCCCACCTACAGCATTCCCCACCGCAGTAGTGTGGCCCCGCAGTTCGGTCTGCCCGAGAGGCACATACCCAAAGACGCTTACTTCCACGAGCTGCCCCACCGACCGCAGAACCCGCCCGTCACCCAGCGGAGACTCTCCTCCGCCTATGCACCAAATGCCGGTTTCTGTCGCAACGATGACTTCTATGCGGGGCATGCTCCGGCCGCGGCAGCTCCTTTGAGGCCGGGCGTCCCCTTCCGGCCCCACCAGATGCCCTCCTTCCAGAACATCATCCCGCCACACTCCCATCCGCATCCCCAAGCCAGGAACTGGCCCCATCCCCATTTGCCGCCCGCCGACATCGACTTGGACGAAGTTTCGGGCGTCGGCATCTACAACAATGTCTCCAGCTTGGTTTGAGCCAAGACATCCTACCCAGAGTTCCCTTGTACATAGCTATGTAGCTCTTAATATATTTATCCTAATCTTACAGAGTTATAAACTAAATCAAAAATTAATTTATTTCCAATGGCAAAATCTAATCTTGAGGGTTTGAAGAATATATATTACAACCAATTATAAAAGTTGTTTTTACTTAAAAATTAAATAAGTTTAATGAACTTAAAACTTACCTTTAATTTTGAAGACATTTAAGGGGTTTTAGAGATTATCATTTAAGAGGTTATACGCAGTTGGGATTTTTAAAAGATATACATTTTGTTATTTTATTCTAACCTACATAAGTATGTACATATCCTCTCAAAATTTTAACTAAATCCTTAAAGGGAGTCGGATATATTTGAAATCGTTTCTGAAGTCGGTGATCTTGATTTCTCAAAAAAGGATTAACTGTTTGGTCTAAAATTTTTATACATTCTTGGATATATTACCCAGATAATGAATAATTTATTTTTCAAAACTATTAACTACAATTTATTCAAAAAAAAATAAATATTGGTTTTAAAGTTAAGCCATTTGGTCAAAAATGGGAATTTTTTTAAATCCATCTTTTATTTCTAGCTTTGATGTATTCTTTGAAAGAATCAATCAAATTTTTCGATTTTAGATTCTTCAAACCGATAAAAACGAGATCCCCGCAAAGCTCCATGAAGTTGAATAAAAAAATATTTCTACATGTTCGACATGCTATAATCAGCTTAAAAGTAGCTTCTATATAAGTTAACAATAAGGGTCCTCTTGGTAAGGATACCGAAAATGCCTATAACCCCTCAGTAGATGTTTTGCTAAGAGGGGTGCCTCGTCCACTTATTTCCCTGAAAGATCTCCCATCCCAAAACCAGACCCCAAACAAGACACACACAATTGTTTTCGATCAAAATATATTTTTCTTTAAAAATGTTTAATAATAGTATTTATGCATGTGTAAATATCAGAATGTCAAGTACATATTATTCTTGATAACAGATCAATTTGGTGTTTTGATAGACATGCGGCTCATGAACTCTGCTAGGTATAATAATGGTGTAAACGAAATCAACTAGTAAATTAGCTCAATAAACGAGTCCAGATGGTTTCAGGACGGGCGGGGAGTCCCTAAAAAAAAGGTAATAAGAACCCCCTGACAGCCGCTGACAAAAAAGGTAAACAAGTAAATTGGGCAACATTTTGATATCGTTTCACCAATATGTCTGTGGTATTGTTAGTACAATTTAGCAAGTGCCTAATGATGGTTTATCGATGTCTTTCGAATTTAATTTAAAATTCTATAAATGACACTGCCTGCTAGCCTGCTACTTAAATTTATCGGCCACTTAATAATATCTTAATTCTGAATAGTCATATTACAAATACGAATTACAATAGCCAATAATTTAGTCACTTTGCATGTATGTATGTTGATGTTCTCTATGTACGTATGTATGTATCTCTCGCCTAATTCAAGTCTATTAATAATAGTTGTTGCTTTTTGCTTTTGTTTTTCGTATTTCGGTTTTCTGTTTCTGTTTCGGTTTTGGGCATTATTGGCTTGGAAATTGTTTTAGACGTGAGTATCCCGGCATTTCGTCCAGTGTAACTTAACAGTGTCGGCAGTCCGGGGGCTGCCTCCTGGATGTGAACTATGATTCCTTGGGTGTCTGTGTCCGTGTCTGCAAGTGACATGTTTTCGGTCAGGTAATGTCTCAAAGTGGACTGGTGTCGGAGTCTTCGCGCTCTTGGATTGTGGTTATGCTCTGCTGCAAGGCGTTTGGGGTCAGCCACTCTCTGAAAATGTTTCAATTTTCCAAATTTCAAAACCGATTACAGTAAAGCACTACAGGATGCACTCACTTTGGCAAACATCTTTGTAGAAATGGCACACAGGAGCTAAAATGCGCTAAACGGTTGACCCAGCTGGGTATTTCTTGGCCACAAAGTATCTGGAATGGAAAAAGAAAGCCATGATGACCAAAGTCGAAACTCCACAGGTCTAAATTTTTGTAATTTGAACGCGAATCGGCGCCGGGCACGAACTTTGTTTACAGAACAAAGTGTTCTTCGGCTTTAAAGCTCAAATTTCATTGTAATATGATGTAAATGTTTATGGAGTGTCCATGAACGGAATGGGCAAAGTTCCAGAAGCTCGTCGGGGTAGTTCAGTTTCTTGGCTCAAATGTCTTCCTTCCCTGGACTTTATAGATAACATAACCAATTCATCGAATAATTTTGCGTCAATTCTAATTATTGCTTGAAAATAGATTAAATCATCATTAAGGAGCGTTACAAATGTTGGGTGCAACCCAACGGCCCTTGGTTCGATGATTCATTGGCGCGTAGCTCCCGCCCCAAATATTTTTGGGTGTCAAGATGTTCGTGACACTCCCGAAAGACGAGGTGGAGACCACCAACTCACCTGGGTCAAGTTGCCCGAGAAGTGATTGCAGTTGTTGTTCATCAGATGGTAGCGGTCGCCGCGAAACTGGTTGCCTAGCTCCTCGACTATGCGGCGTACCTCCTCGTAGGTGAAGTCCGTGCAGCCGATCTGGATGCTCTGGCGGAACTGGAACTGGTCGCCCAGCTCGTCGTGATCGCGGGGCGAAATTTCGAAGACGCCCGTAAAGGGGAAGGGGTGACCTCCGTAGGCGAACTCCGTTCCAAAGGCCTCTACGCCCGAGTGGAATACGCCGAGGCCAATCGAGGTGGTGTACTCGTTGATCCAGTACTGCAAAAACACATTATCTTACTCCGGGTTGATTCAATCAGGGACTAGGGCGGGATAAGCTACCATATCGTAGACGTTGAGGATTACTGGCTCGCGGGTACCCATGTTGGAGGGCAGGAGCTCTTCATTACCAATCTCGTCTTTCGGCACACTGAGACAGCTTGGGAACGAGAGATTGCACGGCAGTCCGTTGGAGAACATTGATTAAATGCGTTGTTGCTTCAGCGGGGCTCGAACTGTATATAAAGTCTGGAGTGGGGGAGACACCATTAATTAATCGAGCATATGCTTTGCTGGGCTGCGGTTTTAATGGTCGGCAGTCAGTCAGTTAAACGTTTGCATTTCTCCAAGAATTAACTGCCAGATGCCGAAAGATTTTTTACTTTTTGTGGTTTTTTTTAAATGATAAAATTATAAAAGGTTATAGCCAATATTTAAGTCAAACCTATATTTTTTTTATATCGTCGGAAGGTGTGTAAAGAATTACACTTTTGTTTCATTTATTTTCAAGTCCCTTTGGTTCGCAAAGATTTACTTGACAGACTGTGGGTAAATATGTATGTACGTTTGTATATACACTACTTTCGAAGAAATGTGTCATAGGACGGAGAACTTACACCTTGCAACCTGTTAAAGGACTCTCAGCATCCCATGCTCCAAACAAAAATTTAACAAATCATAGGGTCCAAATTATATTCTAAAACGTAGCTTTTCGACTTCCGCTTTTGTTTTCAGTTTACACAAAATTTTTTTGTTTATGGATTGGTTTGTAGAGTTGTCATTGGTCTGTAGAGTTGCAGTTAGTGCTGCCAGCATGGCCATTTTTCCGCTATATTCGGCTTTTTTTTACTTGGCTATTATTTATCAATTCTAGTTGAAACACTTTTTGTCGAGGTTTTTTTTATATTACCAAAAGCATAGTTTATTACAAATTTGACAAATTTTTTAGCTTTAAAAGTTATTTATTTTCTTATTTAACTAATTTACCTATCTGGCAGCACTGCTCAGTTGTGGCGATGAGTATCAATAAAGCGCCACCTGTAGGAAAAAAAGTTAAACAACAAAGCGAACAGATGATTTGCAGACAAAAACTTCCAATAATTAAAGTTTTTTGGTGAAAAAACAGTCGAAACATTTCAATAATCGTGCATAGCAGTGGCTCCACACTACCACGATCTGGACTAAACCTTTAGAGTCACGGTGGCAGTGTCACTGTATCGGAGCCGTGTTACATCGGCTGTGGGCCTATTAAAAAATAAAACATAATTGCAAGGATGTTATAGCAAGGATCGAGAATTTTTGAACTTAGGTTCCAGAAGGTGCCATACTCAAGCAGGTGTGGGCGTAAGTCTAAATAAAACCCCAAAGGTCATCCCTGCACTGAAACCAAATTCCTTGCAGTTCAGGATAGGCTTTAGCTGCCAAGCGAGGGAAGCTGGACAGAGCGATGCAGCAGACCAACCCAGAGCAACGGAAAAGCAATAACTAGCAACGTAATCAAGTAGAGGTCGTTATCTTCCAGGAAAGCCAGGTCCCAATCATGTTCTCTTACGACCCCGACGACACCGATGAGCTGGACACCATCGCCGATGTAATGGGTCTGCGGTCGCAGGCACGGCTGAACACCTTCCGCGAGATGTGGTACCATGTGTTCCTGTGGGCCCTCTTCTCGTCGATCTTCATTCACACCTGCGCCGCCGTGGTGGCCTTCTTCACTCTGCGTAAGCACAAGTTCGGCCGCTTCTTTTCGATTCTCATCCTGGTAATGGGCTTCCTGTCGCCGGCGTCGAGCGGCATCATCAGCAGCGCGGTAATCTCGTTCGTCCATCGCGCCTCCAGCCTGCCCATGTCGCCCATCTATGCGATGGTCTGGGGCCTTGGCCAAACTATCGTCTCGGCCTGCCTTGGCTTCACCCGCATCCTGGCCACGCTATAGAAGCCACGTCGTGGCCGCATTTCACAATCCACTACCAATCATCTTTTAGAATCCAAGAACCTGCAATGCCATCTATCCTTCATGTGTGCATGGGAAGGGAAACAATTATTTCAATCCATAGCTAAGTTTATAAGGATAATGTGATTTTTAAAAATACCTATACTACGACAAAAATTCTAAATATAATTGTACAAATGTACACCTAGGAGCCAAATATATGAGCAGTGGTAACAGTGGTAACCGTGGACAGTAGTTTCAGATTAGCGTATTCGGATCCCGGGCGTTGTACAGCGTGTGGAGTTTGTTGCTCAGGACGTTTCCTATGCGCCGTTCCGTCTGAAGCGGCTGGGGTCCGTTGCAGCGACGTATTTTCATGTCGGCTAGGGTTTGCACGGCATCCGGGTCGTCGGAAAAGTGGTCCAGCAGCTTCTTTGGACAAGGATACTGGGCTATAATGGACTCGGCCACCTCCAGGGTGACCAGCGGCAGCCGATTCAGGTGTTGCTGCCATAGGCGCCCAAACCCATTGCCCTGGTCCACGCGGACGCACTGCTTCTTGTCGTTGGCCAGGTACTTCTTGAAGCATCCCAGAGACTCATTGCGCTGTTTTTTGTATGGAGCCTCTGCAATGGACTTGGTGTACCTTTGGAGAAAAGCCAAGAGATTCTGGGATTCGGGACGATCCACCTGCTCCACATGCAGTTCTTGCAGCAACTGCAGCTCGATTAGGGCGTCCTGGTTGGCGGAACTGCTATTCTTGCCGTGGCGGAGCTTAGGAAGGACCACGGTGTACTGACAATCTGGGAAAGCATCCCGCAATTTCGGTCCAATGCAGGCCAGGTTCTGCCGTTTCACCGCCTGAAGGAAACTGGATTCGGGTAGCCATTGGACCACCTGGTTCTCCCGCTGCCAGGCGTCCTCCAGTCCAGTGTTGGTGGTTCCGGTGGCTAGCGTTTGCTGACCCACGTTGCGCTCCCAAAAGATGCAGTGGCTCAAGGGCAAACATCGGATTTCGTACTTAAGATCGGTGGACGCCAGTTGTTGGAGGATCTCCTCGCCCACAAATCCTGCGTCCAAAATCATCCGCACGTATTTGAGGCATTCTCCTGGCTTAATGCGCTTTTGCTGCTCCCGAAGAGCCTGTTTCCGCAACTTCTCAACTTTGTCCGACATTGGGAATCCAGAGTTGTTGTTATTTTTATAAGCAGGGTATAATCCGCGGTTCGGTTTTGATTATTAATCCAAAGAATACATATGAGAATAAAGATGTGATTTTGAAAGTGTTTGATTACTTTACAACACTGAACTGTAAAGGAATAACCCTGTACAGCAACCAAATGTAAGCATGTCAAATGTATATATGGTGCTGGAAAACACACAAAGGAAATCAGTGTTAGAAACATCTGAATAAAAGGTTGGTAAATCCGACAAAGAATCTACGCACGCCACACGTGTTTTTATTTACTTACATTTCAAGCCAATATATTTTGTTAAAACACAAGCCAAAATGTATCTGATGTACACAATTAACGAAAACGGAGACCGTGTCTACACTCTGAAGGTAATTTCACACAACTCGCAGCCTGGATATGCACTAAACTGATTGCTTTTTCAATACGCAGAAATGCACTGAGGATGGCCGTCCAACCTTGTCCGCTCACCCTGCCCGTTTCTCGCCGGAGGACAAGTACTCTCGTCAAAGGATCACCATCAAGAAGCGTTTTGGTCTGCTGCTGACACAGAAACCGGAGCCCATCTACTAAGACGGCATTTAAGTTAATTAGTGTACAATCTTTATTTACAAATAATAAGTAACAATTCCTAACTAACCGGACTTTAAATGCGGCGCTTCAGGCCCGCCGTGTAATCAAATAGCTGGGGATTTCGAAACTCGCCTCGCATGTCCAGGACGTAGTAGAGGGTCTTGCCTTTGACTTTGATTGGAAGGTGCACGCGGGCCATATTGCGGGACTCCTCGGCGGAAACGCATTTTAGGGGTACAGTTGTAATACGGTTCCGATTGAAAGGTCCATAGGTCACAAAGGACACGCTTTGGCCGCCCTTGCGCAGGATGAGGAATCGTACAGATCGAAGGGTAAACATCCAGACGGCAAACAGGATTCCGTAGCCTAGATAACGAATTTTTAAACCGGAAAAGTAGTGGCTTGTATAGTCTCACCTATCAGGAAACTACAAATGGTTATCCCATTGCGGTACTTGTTGTCTCCGAGATTAATTCGTTGGTACCACTTCAGCTCCTCGTCGGGATTCTCCACCACGGGCGCATCTTTCAACGTGGTAAACGCGAAATGGGACAAATATGTCCAGAACACAAATTGGCAAACGCCGAAGAAATTCAGCATATTGTAGAAACGCGGGTTCTCATATTTAAAGAGTATAACGTCTTTGGGTAGAGTGGTGTTGACATCGAAAGGGGCAGTTTGGGTGGCAAACCTTTTTAGAGTGGGAGCTGCTACCGGCGATTTTGAGACAACACTTGGTACCGCCAGGCGCAGACTTTGAAGAGTGTGTCTCTTAAGAAAATTGGCACCTTGCCTCAGGGCAAAATTCACAAGGTTGCTCATTTTAATTGAAAAGTTTCTGCATTTGTTATTATAAAACAAATAACCTATAATCTACAGATGTTTATGTTTTGTTCCACTTCCCACTCATTCGCGGGTTTCGAGACGGAACTGATTTAAAGCACTGCCTTCAGGGATGGCAGACGGCAGTTCCTTTTGCCGGTTCGAATACATAACATCTTTCGTCAAAATTATATGCGATTTGGGGCAGAATCTTATTAAATATTGAATATTGTAATTCAAAATATTTTTTCAACATATTATCTAAGGATATTTTTATATTTATCGTTATTTTCTCAATACGATCAGGTGTTATTAAAAACATATTCCGCTCTCTTGAATTAGTGGTTCATTCATCCACCCCTGAGTTCGTATCTGGTTCAATTTTAGAGATGTGTCTGGGATTCACGCGGCGTATTTTTAATTTTTTTGACTAGTATTCGTATAATTTAAAATAGTTTTAAGCGAATTTAATAAAAAGGCAATGATTTTCAGAATTAAAATAATGCTTTTTCACAATTTGGGGAAAGAAAAGTTTGGTTGTGTTTAAATTTTTGGTAATAATATTTAAACAATCGGTTTTGTGCCTAAAACCTAAGAAATCGATGTATTTTTTTGAACTTTGATGGTAAAATGTTAGTCATTACCAGTCACTAGCCCATCTGTATCCCACATACCAGTTGTTTCTGATCTGGTCAGGAACTAGTTGTGCCCGGACTGGTTCTTTTCGCCCCTTTTGTTTTTGTCTGCCGCAGTCTGTTTTTCACCATCGTCAAAGGGCATCGGACGCAGATGTGATGTGATTTGATTCTATAAACAAATCGCCGAAAAACAGTTTTAAACGTTCAAAATATTGAAAACAGCCGGTCCGCAATAAGGACATGATATAGTTTGACTTAACTGGTGATTGTATAGTTAATTATTGAGTTTTTGTGCTGCTGGAAGGTTAGTAAAATACATACATTTTTTTATACATCGTTTTATTTATAAGATATGCAAAACCCTATTGAATGAAATTTATTCTTTATTTTATAACATGCATGTAATGCTTGATCGGGGGTTTAGTGTGAGGGGTTTTATAATGGATTATAGTTTTGGAAAGGCTCCATACGTCAAAAGATATGTTCAGACTCTCTTTAAGACATTTTTGTTTTTAGGGTTGTCAAGTGCTGGTGTTGAAGATATGTATTTTGAAATCTGATCTGTATTTTTGGGTTTTATTTTAAAGGATGGTGGATAATCAGTGATTTACGCATTTGATTGGGTCTTGTCTATAACTATAGCAACGAAAATACACATGTCATGCCGGTGACAACCCTACCCGGCAGCAATGCAATGTATGTTTTGTTGCGTCAACGATGCCTCTAATTGGGTTTATTTCGTTTTATATAATACCTAGAGGGGTCATGCTGCTAGCCTGGCAACCCTGAAAACATAAAATTGTACATTAGGTAAATGAAAATGTTGGCCCGTTTTGTTTTTTTTTTTTTTTTTCCTGGGCTGCGGCTTAGCATTTTGACCTTATTTTGGGGTTGCACCGGATTCCGGGTCTGGTAGCAGATCTTAATAGGCGGCGCTCTAGGGCCTAGGCAGGCGTTACGGGATCTCTATAACTCCCGGATCCATGGATGTTTTCTGACCTAACCTCACTTTGCAGCAAAATCGATACGTAACCTAAAAAGAATGTGAACGCGGCGCAAACTTGCACACATATACATTCTGATATACATACAAACTCACACACACACTGTAAGAGCATGAGTGAGTGAGACGGCTATAATAGACTTTACAACTTGAGATGTCCACTCCAAAGTTTAGGTCCGTTTGTAAACATAGGAGTTGGTTGGACCCCAAAAAATAAATCCGAAAAGTAATGTATTTTCGGATGCTTTTGCATGTAAAAGTACATACAAGTTCTAAACTAAAGCAGTAGATAATATGGGTTTAATAATTGACTCAAAAAAGTTGATCCAGTAACTCTTGTAAGTCCAAGTTTCCCAACGAAATGGTTACCTATGGTTCAACTTTTGACCAACAGGTAAACCTAATGATGCTTTCATTCTTGTTTTCTTGGCTTTTTATTTTTCTCTGCTATTGTATCTTTCGGTTTGTTTCGTTGTACGACGCCAACAACACTTTTGTCGTGTGGTATTCGGTGCTACGCGAACTTTGTCCAATTGCACACACACACACACACACACCTTTGTGCGTCTGGCCTCTTGCTCTTACTCTCCCGCACTGACTCTCTGGCGTTCTCCGTCTATCCCAAACCGGTATCCTGCCAAGGTCCTAAGATGAACTTCGAAAGTCCCGACCAAGTCTTAGGTTCTAACTCCGAGTTCTGAAAGTTTGGAATGATTTTTGAAGAGGAGTTTTGTCAAACCCCAACACCCCACCTCCCCCCTCTCTCCTGAACCTCCCGGTTTATTTTTAGTACAAATGCATAAAAACCACCTGAGCACAGATTGTTTTTTTTTAGTTAAAATGAATATACACAGATTTTCCTATATTTAAATACCCTACTTTTTCCGTCCTAAGTAATCACCATTGGGTGACGTATAGTTGTCCCGCTCTAACCACTTGCGACTGCATCTCGCCCTCCCGCTCGCACGCATATATACGTTTGTTTGATGTGTGAAAACGCGTTCTATTTTTGCTACTATTACACGATTCGTCTCTGCCACGTTATCAAAAGTAGATTTTGGTTTCACGAAGATCCCTTAGCTGCTTCATGACGAGTCCTTACCCACTCGTCATGGCCTCTCATCCCACCTCATTAACCCTTACCCACCCCTTTTGTCTTTTTCGCAACAATTAATGTCGCAGTAACAGGACTGTCCACTTGCTGCAGCGAAGACGAGACATAGGGAACTTGCGACCGGGTATAGGGGAAGAAACTGTTACCCTAGGATGACGTCATGCCCATTGAGTGTAGGGTGCAAAGTCAAAGGTCGGGATGTGAAAGTAATCACATTTCCTTTCACTTGGACTGACATTATCGAATCTTATCATCCTACGCCACGCCCACTTCTGCTCTCTCGCTTGCTCTTCCGCTTGCCCCCTTCTTCTCTGCCTTAGTCGCTCTCTTTCGTTTGCCGTCAGCTGGTTTTCGCGGCGCTCGTTTGGTTCAGTGGTGCTCCGAACGCGGCGAGAACTTCAAGTCATTTTGATTTCTCCAAGTGTAGCTGATTCGAAACTTATATTTAACAAAATATAACCATCTCCGATAACCGGTAAGTCCTTTTTACTTAACTCCTCGTCTTTGTCTTCTTAGGAACCCTAAATAGGAACTATGTGCACGTCTATATGTACTATTTATTTATACATCTAAATAGGCAAACAAATAAATGAACATAACCTCACTTTTTATCGGTTCGAAGAAAAAATAGTAAATGCATTTTTTTCAAAGATTTCATCAAAAATAAAAAGTTTAGGTAGTGCCAAGGAACTTCCGATTTCGCGATTTTTCATCTATCGCACCTTTTCTCTTGTATCGCCATTTATCGTCGTTCCGTTTTGGTTTCTGCAACGCAGTTGTTTTTGTTGCGCTCGTGAACCGACGAACGCTTGGAACGACCAACACGAACCATAATAACACATGGTTACTCTATAGGTAGATACACACAAATCATCTTTTTACCCGACTCGAAACACAAAAGCTGTGCGTCTTGAGATGTTTCAGGTTTTGGAGTTTCGGGATCGGCGTTGCTGATTATACCATTATCTAGGTGTATTTATAAACACCACCATACGATAGTACGATACCCCTAGATTCTCTGCAAAGGCCTACGAGTTGTAAGCGATAGGGGTGTGGTTAATGCGGGTTAGGAATAATAGCTAGTAATACCCATTAATGTAAATATAATTCCCAACCTCGTTTATTAGTGGTTTCTTATTCGTTACAATTGTTGTTAAAGCTTGGTAAGCTTTTTCGGAAGCTTTTATGCTGCCAGGCAATAAATATTTCGGAAACGTTAATTTTCATTTTCGATTCAATTCTTCTAAAAATAGTCTTGGGTAATCCCTTGATTGTAATATCGCTTGTCATGCTTGGTGTTGGTCGTTTTGGTTCGAAGTTTCTCGAAGTAGTTATAGGGTTGTCGCAGTACTTCATTAAAAGCATTGTCCCTTTCTCTTTCTCTTCTTTTCAATGTGTTCGATATACCTAAGTTGAACGACCAAAAAAAAAAAACCTTGATGGTAATATCGCTTGTCATGCTTGGTGTTGGTTGTTTTGTTTCGAAGTTTCTCGAAGTAGTTGTAGGGTTGTCGCAGTACTTCACTAAAAGCATTGTCCCTTTCTCTTTTAGATTTCAATGTGTTGAAATACCAAAACAAAAAAAAAAAAAGAATTGAACAAATGATGGAAGTAAGCGAAACAGTAAACCTAAAGGAGATGTCGACAGAGGGCGCTTTAGTTCGGTCCACTGAACTCGTCAGTGATGTGCCCACCACTGGTAAGCATAGCTTTTCTCCGAATCACCCGATAGTTTTTGAAATATCGTATATTTGAAAATTTAGCCAATGGCAAGACATCCATCGGTGGTACTGGGGATAAAGAGGTTGCGGGTGAAAAAATAGCCAATGGCGATGATGCGGCCGATACTGTGCCTGAGAACGCAGTAAAGGAACAAAACGCCGGCAGAGATTTGGACGCCTTGCTGGACAAGATAAGCTCCATTGTGGATCGCAGTCCTAAAGATTCGGACGAGTTGGAAAATATCGATAAGCTTTCCGATAAATCCAAACCGATGCTGGAAAACGATAACTCGGCCGCGGAGTCAGTCGAAAATCAGTTCGAAGGGAAAGAAGAAGAGCTAGGAGCAGCGAAGCCGGAAGAAAAAGAGCCTTCGGAAACTTCGAATATAAAAAGTGCATGCAGCAACGTGGAGACTGAGTCGGAGCTTGACACCGTGGACAAAAGTGAGGGTAAGGATATCAAAGACACCGGAGATCCTACCAAAGACAAACCAGCACTTGAGAGCTCTACAGACGCGCTTGAAAAGAAGAAAGAAGAAGAGAAGGAGAAAGATCCGGAAAATTTGAGCTCTGCAGCAGAAGAGGGTGAGGATAAAACATCGTCAAAAATAAACACCTCGGACGACGTGTTCGAGGATGCTTTAGACAATATTTCCAGTGCGGACGAGTTTGAGGCAGTTGGTTCGAAAAAGTCAAAAAAAGCCAAAACAGGAGACGTTAAAAAATCCATTGACAACGATCTGGAGGACATATCGTCGGATGATGACGATATCCTTAATGACTTTAACTCTGATAAAACCAAGCCACTTAGGAAGTCATCCACAGACGTCATAGAGCTAGACTCCTCGGACGAGTCAACGGAGGTGAAGGAATCTGAGATTCCCGAAGAAAAAGAAGACGAGAAAGAGAAGGAGGGTACTGGAGAAGCTGCCTCAGCAGAGCTGGTGAAAGCAGTTGAAGAATCAGAAACGAAGGAACTAGAGGAAGAGACCCCTGAGTTGGTCGAAGAAACTGAAGAAAAGGCAGCTGAAGTCGAGGAAGAAAAGGCTGTGAAAGATCCAGAGGAAGCCATGTGGGTTGATAATAAAAAGTCCGAAGACGCGGCAGAAAAGCCGGACCCCAAGGGAGAAGCTAAAAAAATAACTGAAAGTCAGGAGATGAACGATACCAACATCGATGATTTGCTCATGGAGGCCAATTCTCAGGGCTCCGGGAAGGAGAACCAGAAGACCGAGCAGAATGGCGAGCAAAGGACCCCCAAGGTGAATGGGGTCTCCAAAGAAGCTTCGATCTTGGAAGCCAATGGCAAGGATCAAGAAACAGAGGTGGAGAACAAAGAAGCGGCTAAGGAACCCGAATCCGATGATGAGGTCATTTTTTTCGAGTCCATTGAGAAGTCCAAAAAGGCTGATGCGGAAGAGGCGCCAAACGGAGAAAAGGTCCAGGAACCGGAGGCACCCAAGCCGGCTGAGTCGAACAAGGACGATGAAGTGGTTTTGGTTTCCGAAGACGAGGACGAGGAACCACCGGCGCCCAAAACTGTCGAGGAGTCGCCTGAGACTATTGTTAAGAAATCCGTATCCACAGATGCTCTCAACAGTTCAACCGCCGACAAGTCCCTTCATGTGGACAACTCGGACAATGCATGCGATCAGTTCGAGAAGGTCAAGCCACTGGCGAAGGAAAAACCCGAATGCATGGAGAATGGGAACAGCAATTCGAGCAGCAACCTCTTGCGACCTGCCGAGGATGTCCAAGAACCGGTAACCAAGCGGGCTCGCCTTAGCACCGATGAGAAGCCAGCATCCGATCTGGAGTCATTTGTGGCCCAGAAGACCGCCCCTGGGGAGGGAAAAATGGCGGTGCCTAAGAGAAGCCACGATCATTTGGATGTGGAAGTGGATACGCATGGAAAGCAGGAGGGCGCCAACAAAAAACTCAAGACTGACGACTCGGACTCGAGCTCCTGCGAGGGCAACTTGCAAATCGACTTGGATGACCATGCAGACAAGGATCAGAGCAAGGAGGAGGAAGTCAAAGTTCAGGAGGAGACGGAGTTGGAGCTCGACCTGAAGCCCGAGCCGGAGATCAAGACGGATGTAAAGCCATTCAAAATGGAGTTTGTCAAGAATTTCCGCAAGAGCTTCGACCGAATGACCCGCAACGACTTGGAGGAACTAGTCCTTCAAAAGGTAGTCGAGGCCATGCTGGTCAAGAGCGAGTTCGCGGATGCGATAGCGCAAATGGAGAAATATGAAACCACCTTGGCCGCATACCGGCGCAAGATGGCCGAGGTGTCCAAACAGTTCCTCGACCTCGACACGGTACACAAGCGGGTCCTCAAGGATCTAGAGTCGAAGAACTCGCATTTCACTGCACCGGTGCGAATTACGCGGGCTGTGGGCCTCCAAGTGGGCATTCCGTTCAAAGCGATGAAGCCCTCGGTAGCTGCACCGGACCAGCCGTCAACGTCATCTGCAGGCAGTGGAATGTTGGCGCCCCCCAGCAGCACCCCGCCCAAGGCCAGCACCTCTCCTATGCGTTCGCCCATGAGGCCCAGACCTCCCGTTCCCAGTCCCAACACCAGCCCGCAACACAATCAGCCGGAGCAGCTACAGCAGCGAGCCACCACTTCCATTGGCCAACCTCCACCGGCATCGCCACCCAACGCTGTGCTTCCGGTGCGCCGCGGCTGCATGCAAAAGGTCACTCCCCAGCGTCCGTCTGCCGGCAATGTTCTGCCCATTCCGCAGATCAACAACCAGCCCAACATCCATCGTCTGCCCCCATCGCCTCAGAGAGCTCTCCAAGCATCCAAAGCCGCCGGCAACACGCTCTCCATTGCAGCAGCCGCGGCGGCAAAGGCGGCGGCAAAGGCGGCGGCCATGCGACAGCGGAACTCGGGTCAGAACTTTGTGCCTCAGAAGGCGCAGCTGCAGCCGCAGCAATACCAACCGTAAGTGTTTTTTTTTTTTTTTTTGGCGGTGGAAGAATAACCATTTGATTTGTTGTAGGTCTCGTGCGGGACCCGCTCCCGGACCCGCCAAGGCAATTCCCAAGTGCACCACCAAAGTGCGTCCGATGGCCCCGCCAAACTCGGGAGGCACCGTTTCCGGGCCCACTTCATCTGCCGCTGCCCCTGAGGTACCTGCTGGATACGCCCTGCATCCACAAACTAGCTTAACGCCGGCCAAGCCGAAGGACAAGGCGGTCATCGATCTGACGGACGAGGATGACGCGAACGCAGCAGCCAAGGCGGCCATCGAGGCCAATGCTCGTATGCGTCAGACGGCCAACCTCGCGGTCAAGAGGAACGCACAAGCAGCTGCAGCGGCAGCCATGGCGTCAGCAGGACCAGGAGCAGCTGCCGGCCGCCACGGAAATGGAAATGTCGTGCGAGCCTCGCCAATGCAATTGGCGCGTACGAATGCTCGGCAGATGGTTCAAAACCCTCCAGGAGGTAGGTGTCCAGGTTTCCCACCTGCCATTGAAATATTTTCCTAACCATCTCCTCTGAAACAGTGACAGGTCAGCGCAACTCTGTGGGATCGAATGTTTCCATGCAGATTCGTTCGGAGAACACTCCGCCGGCTTCCGGGCGGCTGCGATACTCCCACCCAGCACCACTGCCGTCATCGCCTCTGCAGCCCTTCAGTCCCGCCTGGAGGCTCCCCCCGTCGCGACCAGTTATACGGATCAGTCTGCTGGACACTGGTATCGTCATTTCGTGGACTCTGGAGGACACCAGTCAGCGGTACGCCGATTGTGTGACGTACCAAATATACGCGTACCAGGAGACGATCCACGAGCCGAGCACCGATAGCTGGCGCCATGTGGGCGACGTCAAGGCGATGCTGCTGCCGATGGCCGTCACGCTGAACCAGTTCCAAGAAAACCAACGGTACTACTTCGCTGTGCGAGGGGTGGACGATCACCAGCGCTTCGGAGCGTTCAGCCTGCCCAAGACATGGTCCTAAAGGAGTAGCTCTAGTATTAGTATTAGTCCCTAGGCAAACCAGGCCACATATAATTTATTATAACAGCATTTCAGCTTCCTTTGAAGCTACCGTTGGTTTGCTCCGTTAGTTTATTTCTCGAAATTAGTCGAATTCTGAGTTAATTATTAAGTTTCGTTGAGATTTTAACTGAAACATTTTAACGAATCACTACGCCAAGCAGCAAACCCCACACGGCTGAGTCAGACTACATCCACAAGCCGATAGTAGTCGTCGTCCCAATGGGACGACAGTAATACATAACTAGGCTATACACATATATGAAATAATACCATCACTGAAATAAACATTTAATGCGGGAAGTTTTAAACGTACAAACAGACCATAAACTCCCTTGTTTCTATTTGTCCATTAACGGAAGGAACAGAATCAGGAACTAGATTGCAAAACTCCTAGCTATTGAAGCATAAACATCAAACATCGATTGCCGAAAACAAACCAATGCCCAGCCCGAAGCCAAGTCCACTAATTGCAAATGCCCTCCCACTCAAGGTGAGCAAACATTGGAAAAGTGGCTCATCTAATTGGCGCATAAGTGGAATTCGCCAGAGGTATTTGCATTATGCTCTGCCCGGGTCATTATGCATGCCATGTCTCCCCAGGACTTCACAGTTCTTGACCTTTCAAGGGGCTGGGGCCTGCAATCGATGGCACATAAAATATGGATGGATGCACGCCCATTACGTGAGGTGGCCTTCCAATTTGGAGGTCACTTTCCGACGACCCTAATGCTCCTCAGGGAGTGTACGGTGATGCCTTCTTAATTTAAATTACTATTCAGTTTTTTTTTCAATTAATTTAATTATTTTTTTAAAGGTTTATGTTTTTTACTCTAAACTTGTCATACCAAAGACTTATTTATGATTTATAAAAATGTATTATAAAAAAATTATTATAAAAAAGTTATAAAAAATATTATAAAATTATTATAAAAATGTATGTTACTCATAGTACTTAATATGTAAGCGCTGGCATCGTAAGTTTCGTAAGAGTTTATTATTATTATTTAATTATATTCAATTATTATTATTATTTAATTGCATTAAAAATGCACTGGAAGTCGCCAGATATTCTGATCATTTGTAGTAAATATAATATAAGCTGGATGTATGATTTAAATTATAATTTTTTTTTCATAGAAGTTGATAAATATTCCGAATGTGAAGAAAATGTAAACAGTTGAACATTTTAAACTTTTTTATAAAAATAAAATCAAAATTTATAAAAAATATTTGCAGGAAATATTTATTTCGATTCCTTTTTTATAAAACATGTTTATAATTTAACAATTAAATTTAAACAATTAAATTAAATTAAAAAAAATTACTTGTAGGTTGCCTATCGTTGTTTATAACACACCTTATAAACTTGATTGGGAAGAGGTTTTATTAAGAATCCAATTTTGTCATAAATATAAATGGATTGTCGTTAGCCGCATATAAAACCATATAAAACTGGTGAACCAACTATCCCCAGTCGCTATTCATTATTTTAGGTCCAAGTATCTGTGTTCAGAAGGCAATTATAATAATTTCCCGCGTAAATTTTTGGGGGATAGAATATAATAGAACAACTATCTTATTTACATATGTTTTTGGTATTTTGGTTAATTTTCATCTTACAGAAAAAGTTAACATTTTTTATTATTTCTCCAACACACCTTTTGGGGGCAAAAATCCATTTGTAAAAGTTTGAAAATTAAAAACAGTTTGATTTCTGTGTTAAGAAATGTTCAAAGGTTAGTGTTCTGTAACAGATATTTTTTAAGATGGCGCCCACCCTGTAAGATACGATATTTTGACACACTGTACAGAAAATCATATTTCTGTTTGCAAACCACATTTTACTGTGGGAAATAACCATTCTTTGGATTGGAGTATTCCCAAAACTAGTACTATTATTTAATTAGACATTTAATTTATATAATTTTTTTAATTCGGGTTTTCTTTTACCAATTGGTGAAACCCAAACTATCTTCTCTGCCAAGTTTTCACTGTGAATTCCGTTACCAAAAGGGGTCGAAAATGGGCGGCAGTCTTGTGGGGTATCATGGTTCATGTAGAGTGCTTGTCTCTCTTCCTCCATCCGCCATCCTTGTTGCCTCGTGCACTTGACATTGGCTTTCGAATCGGGTTTGCCGCGACATTTTTGCTCATTCATGCGAGGCGCGAGGAGCACCGGAAGTCTGGGCCTGGGGGGCGGTAGGGTGGGTTGCAAGGTGCAGGATTGGCCTGGTAATGGCATAATCGTCCCCTCGCCCCTCGGGTCCTGGGCATGGCTTTTGTGGCATGGCCACGTGCCGTGCTGCTTCTGCTTCTGCCGCTGGTGCATTTTGAACAGCAGCCAAAAAACCTTGACATTAGTAGCCTGCCGTGGACTAGTCATGGTGAACTAAACGCACACAGACACTCTGGCCTGGATTCCCATGTACTGGGCGAGCAGCCCTTCCGGTCGAACGGAGGAGCTGTCCTGCCAATACTTAGGGCCTCTTAGGGGAAAAAAACTACGGTTTCCGTTTCACCACAATGGGTCCTTGATTTGATGATATCAGCACTGTTGCAGTTTTTCCAACTGTAAACAATTAAATAGGGATTTGGATGTCTAGGGTTGCCCTACAGGTAAATTATTAAGAGTTTACTATTTTTAAATAATTTAATTGAATATTTAGGGCATTTTGCATTTTAGATCAATATTTATTTAACATGAAGTATTAAATGGCCTGTAACCGCCTTAATTTTATTTTCAGTGTCTGCATTCGAAGTACAGTTGATGGCAATCAGAGTACCGTTAACTCTTTGTGTGCCATCAATTAGTCGAGAGTTATTTCGGGGACCCCCCCCACATATAATTGAAATAACTGTTTGTTCAGTGACCACAATCGAATTGTTGCAGTTGTTTGTGTTGGTGTTCCAGAGGTTTCGTTGAAACAACAATAATAACAATAACAATAACATAATAACAAAAACACAGATGTTCCGTCAGCAGGTTGCTTTAAGAGAGCGAGAGAGAGAGAGAGACTTTTCCTTCCGTCCTCGGAGGCTTTCGTTCTCAGTGGCGTAGTGCGCAGGGACAAGCACGAACCGGGTAACCGGATAACGGATAAGGTGAGAGTGTGCTCACGGATAAACTGCTCCACAGAGCGGCGGTCGATTCAAATTCAAATGCTTTTCGTCGGTTGGGTCGCTCGCATCGCAGGAAGCGGAAGCCGCCAGCGGTCTAACGGTAGCAACGTGCAACTTCCGGCGGCAAACCGAATAAAAACAAACACTCCCACACACAAACGTAGTTGTGCGGCTTTTTTGATGAAGTAAACGCGGTTGACAGCCCAACAGAAGTAGTTAAATTACAAAAAATACAATTATTAGAAATATATAAATATTTAAGTAGATTAAAGCTAGTGTTGATAAAATCAAGAATCAAAATTATTAAAAATTATTAAAAATAATTTAAAATATTAAGTGCTTGGCGGAGTGTGATTGATTGAAAAAGTTTTGAACGCGCTTAAGTAAACATTTGAATATCGATTAAGGAAAGTCAGTTTGCCGAAACGCTTTGTAAGTGCCCCGAGCCACACCTCCCCCCCTCCCAACGGCTTTCATTGTGTGCCACATTCCCTTTGTGTTGCTGTGTGTGTTTATGCATGTTAATTAAATTACCGTTATGTGTGCTTACCAAAACACAGACACACATACATCAGCGCTATCAGAGTAATTATAAAACAAAAAAAAAAACACAAAAAAGTGGAATGAAAACAAAAGCAACGACAACTGAAAATCCATTTCCCATTTCCTTGGACTTTCCCCGCGAAGGGACTGGGACTGGGGCTGGGGCATTCATTGCATGTTTTGCCCGCCCTGACACTTGGGGCATATTTCTGTGTTAACTGGGCTGTGCGTGTGTTTATTACTGCGACTCGGGCCATTGGCACGTACATCGGCCGGAGGAGCCGACCCCTCGTGTCCTTGCGCCCGGCACTACTCACAGTTATTAAGCGTCTTATGGCAACTCTCCAAGCGGCCCATAAGTATGCTATAGTTTTTGTTATTTCCCCGAAGAGACTGCCAGCCAAACACCGGAAGAAATCTATTAGGAGCTTTTTAGGGTTTGAATCACTTAAGGACCTGATACTAACAAACTAATAATTAAAGTTATGTTTTTGGGAAACTAACAAATATTTGAGGTATTTTTATTTTAAGATTCGATTTCCTCTGTGCACAAGCAGCAGGTGCATTCGAGGCAGGATCTCAGGTAAGTCCTGGGCCACAAATCAATCGGAAATCAAGCATTACACTTGAGGATGTGTGGAGAGGGGCTCCATAGCAGTCTCCTGTTCCAGCCATCGCCACTTTTATTGCCTTTGTTGCAATCTCCATTTGGACCACGTTTATGCTCTGCCCCTTGCCCATCAAATGGATGATAAATTGCAAATTGCGACCATAAAACCCAGGAGAGTTATTGAAAATTTGCACGCCGGAGGTCGTAGGGTAGCCATGAAAAAGGTACAGCCTTTCATATTTATATTTTTCCTGCACATTTCATAAATATGAAGACCTTTTCCGGCCGAGATGCTACATTAAATATTGAATTGAAGCAATAAAGTATTACATCACTTAACAAAATTATATATTTCCGGGTATTTTTAAAGGGAACTCTCCTTGAATGTTTTCGGTTCTGGGACAGGACCCTGAACTCCCAATTCCTGTGCTTTGATCTGCCATCTAATGTCCAGGGGCTGAAAGCTTTTCAATGTCGTTCCGCGAATTTCAATTAAGTGCAAAAAAGTTGCAGGGCTCACATTAGTTGGCAGCCAGTTAGCGGACGAGGTCCTTCCCTTTGACGCAATTAACTGACACTGGATGCTGTTGGTCCTTTGTCGGGCGCAGTTTATCGGCGGCTTACCGCTTCGCCTGCCAACGGCGGGGGGAGGTGGCGCGGAGATATCCTTGGCTGGCACATACCCGTATGCAAATTGCGCCATAATCTCCACTGAGTCGTAGTCGTCTCCTATTGATTATCAGTTTTGCATACTAATATGCCCCAGTCGGCAGGCAGGCAGTGCAGTGTATTGAAACCGACCCAAACAAAGTGACAAGCGCCGTCGGTTCGTCCCTCTGCACTATAGGAAATATGACCACTTTTTCTGGCCAAAAATAGTATCTCAAGAACGAAACAAGATATTTAAGTTCTGATTTTTGATTTGAGTTCACATGGTCAATAGATTCAATATTTTTAAAAAATGTGGGCGTGGCACCGCCCACTTTTTAAGAAACACATTCTAACTCAAAAACTAAGCAAGATATTTAAATTTTGATTTTGGATTTGAGTTTAT